GCAGCTCCCAAAGCTGCTGCCATGTTGTGTTCCCCTGCTCGGGATGTTGAAATGAGCTATGCCACCCCTCTGACCATGTTGTGACTTGGTGTGGCGACATCATTTCCAGAGCTGGTGCTGCATGTACAAAAAAAAGTCAGTTATGTCATGCAGAAGCAGATTTCAGATACTTTGTTACTCAGTGTTTTCCACTTAGATTTAGGGCCAGATCAGGTTTCACACATATCAAAACTCCAGTAATTGTTTCCTGCAGATTTTCATCACAAATTGGTAGGATTCTTCTGTTTTTTCTTCCTCTACAATTCACATCATATCAAGTTAAAGCCTCTAAAACATTGTCCTCCCCATACAGCTGCTGTTATTGAATGGGCAGATGAATGTCAAAAATCCCTGCCTCTTGCATGGAAACTGAAAGCCCCTGGAGGTTTTTGTGTCTACACCTGAGGCTTCCTGAAAATGTTTTGCACTAGAAGAGAGAAAAGGTAACCAAAATCAATGGGGAAAGCAAAAAGGGAGAGACGATGATACAATGGAAAGAGGAGGCGCGAACTTCCTGCTGTCTCTCTGTGAAGGAGCTGTTACCTCATTTGTTATGCTGCCTTGCCCTCAGAAAGTCCAGCTCCAAATCATCTCTCAACTTTGGGAAATCCCACCAGATGTAAACAAGTACCCGAGGGTGGCTTTGACCTGAAGAAGCAACCCTGGAGGAAGCTCAGTGATTCCTGCGGGCGCGGCAATTCGTGACTTTCCTCGCCAGCCGCAGCCACCACCACGGCTGGGCTCAGCTGATGGCSTCAAGGACCTGATCCCAAAGGAGCTGTGGCCTGGCTTTCCTTCTGGGCTGGGAAGCAACATCTGAGTGTCCAGCAGGGAAAGGAGACTGCAGGGAGCTTTCGTGGGATGGCAAAGAGCAAYGTGCTGTCTGAGGATGTGAGAAGAGCCACAGTGACTCTGACTTGCACATCTGTGCTGAAACACCCAACATCTGGCTCTGGGAAGGAGCACGGGGTGGCTGCCTGGCAGGAACCTGGCTGGACCCATGCCATGGTTAATGACCATGATGCACACGTCGGGAGAGAGGCCCTCYATGCTGACTGTGGGCACAGCACTCCCCCAGAAGGTGTCCCCTGAGCCCTGGCTGGGTCCCTGGTAGCAGGGACACCCCAGGACAGCAGGTCCTGCTCACCCTGGGATGGATATCTGGGCTGTGGGACGCTGCTTGCTCCCTGCCAGGCCCAAGGAAGTGTCTTTATAAAAACATGGACACAACAGAAGGAAGCCTAGACCCAGCTTTGAATTTAACCTTGTTCCTCGAATCCCAGACTATATTCCACTGTGTTCAGTAAAGGGCAGTATCTCTTAAATGAGACAGCTGCAGACTGGGGTGGACAGGGCTTCTCTACCCTGTCTGAGTGGGGATCCCTTTTAAGGTCATCCAGGATTGCAGAGGCAGGGAATGTGACCCCGCAGCTGGGAGGGCATCCCCTCAGTCCCTCACCCCACCCAAAAGGGGCCTTGCCTGCCATGCAGCRCAGAGCAGTGCAGCCCCGCTGGCCTTGCTGGAGCTGTGCAGATGGGTGGAGCTGGGCTGCACTCCTGCAGCACAGCACCTGCTGCACACAGGGCAGGAGCGTGTTTTGCACAAAAGAAAAACCCACTTCCTTTCTTCTGCATTGCAAAAAGAAAAATAAAATCAGGTAGAGAATATTGCTTTCCCTCTGTCTTATTCCCAAGGCCTTGGGCATGGTTGTTGCCCTGGGCACAGTTGTCCACCCGAACTTTGGGCTCCTCCATCAGTTTTCGAGGCTGGAGATGCTTTTGGGGTCATCTCCCTTCTCTGTGCAGGGGCTGAGAGATCCCTCTGACCTTTCTTTATCCAGCCCCCACTCTGACATAGCGAGGGCACTTCCCAGACCCATGGGGTCCCACSAGAAGTCCTCCAACCCCAGGCAGGTGGCAAGGTGCTGGGTCATCAGCACTTGATTCCCCTTCTGGGATTACAGCTCTTTTCAGTGCCTGTGTAAGTGCAGAGCCCAGGGGATGGAAGGGGTTGTACAAAAGGGGCTGTTTGCTCAGAAAAATCCCAGCCATAAATTTGCATCACAAACCACCCCATCCATTCCTGCCAAGCATTGGTGATTCCAACCAGTCCGAGGCGTTGTGGGCACCTGTCTGGAAGTCAATGGCATTTTGCTGAGGTTTATCCAGRTTTATGTGTTCAACGGTGTGAATTTGTGGAGACAAAACACTCATGTGAGACATGTGAGTGAAAGTGGACAGGAGCTTTGCACCATCAGTTGCCACAGTGAGCCCCAAACTGATGTGACCAGTATTTATTTCAGCTRCAGCTGTCTGTCATGCAGTGCCTTAGCAACATGAAAGGATAGTCCTGGATCTGCTCGCCGCTATGGGCTCAGGATTTCTGTGGACGTAACTCTTCTCTGATGTTAAATCCATTGGCTGTTTTCACCATCATGATGAAACAGCTCAAGAACATTTGAGCCCCACTGAAGTCTGATTAGCTTAACTCTTGACAGATGTAGAAAATCCCCATTTTACTAAGGAATATTTTTAATAATTTACTCAGCAATTATCCTATTATTAGCAGACATTTCCCTCTGTGTAATATAAGCCCTCGAGCAACAAAAGTATCTCCATTAACAGATGCTTGTTAGCTAATTTTCACTATTATTCTTGCTAGGTAACTTCAACTTCTAGTAAACTCATGACAATATATGTGTAATTTCTATACAGATGAGTCACAGTACATGAGTACACAGATTAGTACTGAGTTTAATGTCACTGTTTTAAAACACTAGAAATATTATGCAATTAAATAATTAGTTGAGATCTACTGATTCAGAGAGAAATATTTAAGTTTAGCTTAACTATAATCCTAACTTTGGTATTTCTTGGCTTCGGTATTTTTCAGCAACATCCCGAATGCCTCATGATGGGAATTTCCTGGTTTATTAGGAATTTTTTTGAGAGATTAAACCAGAAACCAGCAAGATCATCACCACAAAAAATCCCAAACCCYAGAACCACTAAAAAGAGCATAAAAATTCCTCTTGGGATTTGAAAACCCCAGTGGTCTCCAGTAAAATTGCCATCATGAGGAAGGCCATCCTGCTGGTCACGGGGCAGGCTGCGCTTCTGCAAATATTTTGGGAAGTGCTGGGGAGGAAAGTACTCTCTTTGTACAGACATACAGGGCTGTGGGATAAATCACAGCTCTTCCCTGCTCAGCACCCTGTGATAATAGGGTGAGAGTCACAGCTGGGACAAGGAGCTTTGCCCTGCTCTCACCACACAATTTATCACTTTAATRACAAAAACATTTTTCCACTAAGATAAAATTGTTTTATTCTACTCGATCTTTGCCCTAAGGAGACATGCCTGGTGATGTCTCCGTGTGTGTGAAAGGCAGATCTGGCTTTCGCCACAGGCACAGCGTGGCTTGCACTGGCCACAGGCACAATAAGCTCCTTTGAAGATKTGCCGTAACTATACTGAAAAAGCTGCCGTAGTCCGATCGTGTGTGCGACCCGGGGTCCACGTGTRTGTGACCCGGGGTGAGCACTCTGGACCGCACGTGAACCAGAGCTGAAGTTGTTTTCATCCCTCAGTTGCATTTTGCATCCTTACAGAAGTTTTCAGAGTAAAATCCGTAGTCGGCTCAGATGCCGGGAGAGATTACCGCGCAGGTACAGTCATTTATCTTCTCAAGCGCAGCCACTACTGAGAATAATCCCCCGCGACGGCAGCGTGCCTCTCACACATCGAAACAAAAAAAAACCCCACCCCAAAAGAACACACAGTTTTACCAACCCTAAGAAAAAAAAAGGAAAAAACAAAACAATACAGAAAACCCCAAAACCCCACGGCGCTTTTATAATGTGAGCGAATCCCGGGAGGCGCTCACACGGCCGGGGAGTCCGAGTACCCCACGCGGGCAGGAGGCTCCGCGCCAGCCGCCCCCCAAAAATAGGGCGGGACGAGGGAGAGGAAGAGGAGAAGAAGGAGGAGGRGGAGGACGACAATAAGGCGGCACCGCCACTCTCAGGTTGGAGTCCCCGATTTCCCTTTCGTGCGTGCGGGTTGAGCATCTCAGCCCCTCGGGGTCGCGCGGTCGGGGGCGAGAGGCAGCGCCCGTCCCGTCCCGTCCCATCCCATCCCTCCCCGTCCCGTCCCGTCTCTCCCGGTGCGGCGGCGGCTCGGAGCGGAGCCCGGCGGYGGGAGCCGGCAGCGTGCGGTGAGCGGCGGGCGGAGGCGCGTCCCGGGAGCTGCTGCAGCCCCGCGGCGGAGGGGACACCGCTGTCCCCGGACGGGAGGGCGGATCCCGTGCCCAGAGTGGGGCGAGCGGCGGGAGGGCGTGCGGAGAGCGGGGGTTGGTGCCGGGATGTTCTCGGCTCCCTGATCGGACGAGCACGAGGCACGGGATTTCTGGGGAAGGTTGGAGTTTTTCTTGGGGAAGGCTAGGTTTTTTCCTCTCTGAATTTCTTCAGTTTTGTTTCTGCTTTGGTCCCACTCAAGGGTTGCGAAGGTGCTCCTCAGCACTTCTGCACACCGGTCCCCCAGCCCTCCCGGCCCCCGGGCCTTCCAGTTTTTGGGCATTTTCTCAATGAAGCTCCCCATTCCCCTCACAATAATCATCGCCACCAGATGAGTTTGGGACCTTCCTTGCGTGACAGACAGTTCCCTCTCCCATCACCCCCAGTCCTTTCTCATATTAGTTGGACTTGCGAACAAACAAAATTAAAGAGGAGCTGATGATAAGGAAAAGAGAATGAGTCACAGCCACTGTTGAAGTGCTCTCACTAAAATCACAAGAGAAGCATTTTTCCAAATGACTCGAACTATGCGYTGCCAGGGGAGATGGCTGGAGCAGGGGACAGGGCTTTTGCTTTGTGCTAAGGGCCAACTCTAAGGATGCTACTTCAGTTATCAATCAGCTGCAAGTTTCATGTCTGTTCTTATTCCAAGGGAGAGATCAAGAGCTTGCAAGGCACCGCAGAAATGGCTGTTGYGGAGGACGTGTTCCTGCCCACCAACCTCACCACCGGCAACCAGAGCAGCTGCAACGTGCACAACCAGCACTTGTCAACCAAAGTCACCTTCTCCCTTTTCTACATCACCCTGCTGGTGTTTGGTGCCTGTGGGAATGTCCTGGCCCTCTGTATCACCTTCCAGCGCAGGAAGAAGAAACTCAACTCCACCGACCTCTACCTGGTGAACCTGGCCCTGTCCGATGCCCTCTTCACCCTGGCACTGCCAGGCAGGATTGCATACTACATCCTGGAGTCYGACTGGCCCTTTGGGGACTGGTTCTGCCGGCTCACAGCTTTCATTTTCTACATGAACACCTACGTGAGCATCTACTTCATGACCTGCGTGAGCGTGGACCGCTACATCGCYGTGGTGCGCACCCGGCACCCYGGCAGGATTCGGAAGATGAGCCGTGCCAGGGGCATCTGTGTCCTCATCTGGTCCTTGGTGTTCCTGCAGACAGCCCCGCTGCTCCTGCGGCCCATGACACGAAGGATGGGAGACAAGCTGACGTGCATGGAGTACTTCAACTTTGAGGAGATTCCCAATCTGCCCTACCTGCTCCTGGTGGCCTGCATGCTTGGCTTCTTCCTGCCTGTGGGCATCATCTTGGTGTGCTACGTGAGGATCAACCTCAAGCTCTGCCAGACGGCCAAGGAGAACCCGCTGACGGTGAAGAATGGGCACCACCACAGGGCCTTCACGGTCATCCTCGTGGTGCTGTTGGCTGTCCTGCTCTGCTTCAGTCCCTACCATCTCAACATTGTCCAGTTCATGGTCAGGAAGATCCTTTACCAGCCATCCTGCCGTGAGCAGCAAGCCTTCAAGCTGTCCCTGCAAGTCACCGTGGCATTCATGAACCTCAACTGCTGCATCGACCCCATCATCTACTTCTTCGCCTTCCGGGGCTACAAGCGGAGGCTGCTCCGCATCTTCAGGAACAGCGGCTCACTGGCCACCTCCTCCACTGCCAAGACCCCCTCGGAGAGCAACAGCAACAGCCAGCAGCCTGGCTCCGTGTCTGTCTAGATGCACAGCCCCTCCCTTCTGCCCTGGCCTGTGACAATGGACCGTCCCTGATGGCAGCAGGCTGAGTTGAGCTGCAGGACYGGCACCTTCAGCAGGTTCCATTGCTCCCTGCCTGGGGCTCTTGCAAAGCCAGCCTGGCTGAGACCCAGCTCTGGCTGGCTCTGCATGCCCAGCTCTGTGCTCAGCACTGCTGCACCTGCCAGCCTGGAGCACAGAGGAGGTTTCACCCCAACCCCAGAGGAGGCAGCTCATGCAGCTGCTCTGGCTGGCAAACCCAGCTGGAGGCTTTCCAGCACTGCACTGTACCCCTCTTCCATGCCTGTCCACATCCTCTGTGGGGCCGGGGCATGCTGGTAACCACCATAGATATCCCTCTGCCCCAAGCCTCTGCACTGCCCCTGGAGCACTCAAACAGCATCCCTGCAGGCCTCAAGGCAGGAGAGACAGATGAAGGGCATGTCAGAAGAAGGCTGGGATGTTATTTCCATGCAGAAGACAGCCTACAGCTCCTTCCCCACACCAACAAACAGCAGCTCTGCTCTCTCCCCACCAGCATCCTGCTCCTGCACCTGGGCTCTGCATGGGGCAAGCAGTAAGTGTGAGACATAGGGGAGGTGCTAGAAAAGYGCACCCCCAAGGGAGAGAGGTGAGGATGTGAATTGCAGAGCTCCTGGCTGTGCTGCTGCCCACATTCACCACTCAGGGTGCCCTTCCTCACAGCTGATGGCACTGCAGTCACCTGGGACCCACTGCCAGGAAGAGGGTGGTGGGGATGACCTGGATCCCAGCCCAGCTGTAAGGCTGCAAACCTGCTCTGGATGTACTCATGGGGAAAACCTTCCCACTAGTCCTTAATCTGAAGGGAGTGGTGGAATAGGGATAAGGACTGAGGCTGCCCTCATGTGACCTTGACTGCCCTTGAAGCTGGTACCCTGAGGATCCCGAGAGGCTTGCTAAGGGAGGCTGATTGTGACTCTTAGCAGAGTGAGAGGAGGAGCCCTGGGCATCAGTTTCCTGGTGATGTTTGTTCTTCCCAGACAAAGTTGGCAGGAGCCTCTCCAGCTCTTTTCTGAAATTACTAGATTATGATATAAAACCCACACATAGGATTTCAGTTCCTGGCATGTGTGGCCTTTTGTTTGAAGTTGGGACAGACACGCACAGAGACATGAAAAGAAAAAAAAAATGCTGCTTATTTCACTGAAAAGTATACCTGAAACTCGTGAACAGACGCTTTTGATTAATACAAATCATTCTTTAAGTTAACAAACTCTTTTATGCCTCGAAAGTTAATAATAGTCACATGCAGCCCTTTATTGCTTTAAATGCACATGAATGAGCTTTTGGATGGTGATGGCTTTACTTACAGTACAGGTCACTGTAGAATCCTGGGGGCTGACTAAAGAGGGGTGCCTGAAATAACTCCAGGGGGAAAGGGACTCCAGGAGGTCCTCTCTAGAGGCTCCCTGAGCCCTCCTCAAAGCAAGTCTAACCTCAGTGCTTACCTGCAGAGAGCCTTTGTCCTGAAAAGCATATTGTGATGGACAAGAAAGAGCTGGAATGCAATAATAGAAAGATCTCAGTGGTCTGAACACCCTTGAAGGTGTCTGGCTGGGCTGGTAGTTGCCGTATAGTCACGTTGCCCTGTTAACATGTCTGGGAAGTGATGGCTGGAAGGGAATCTCTGCATCACCTCATCCAATAGCCTACCCAAAGCAGGACTGTGGTTGGTGTGATGACAGGCTGGATGTGGCATCATCTAGACAAGACTTGGAAATGCCACCTTGCTGCAGTGACATTGTGAGAYTGAGTGCCCATGCTGCATTGCCCTCTGGATAAAAACATTTTTCCCACTGCCATGCCTGAACCTCCCCATCCACAGCCGGTGGCTGTTGCCCCTAACATCACTGACTCATGCCACAAAGAGCTTGGCTCTGCTACCTTTGTAACTCAGATTCCCACAGGACTGTGCCAGGAGCAGTGGTTTGTAGCTGTCTGTCTCCCTGTGAACAGCAGGCCTGCAGCAGTGGCCATCCCTCCTTCTCAAGACCAGGCCAGAGATGTTTTGCCAGGCTGCRGCCCACAGCTGAGAAAAAGCCAATCTATGACCAAACCTCCTCAGGAAAAGGTGGAGTATAAACATAAACTTGTTTGCTCCTATTGTTTTTCTCTGAAGTACTCTATTAAGAAAGGCACCTCCTCCTCTTGCCACCAGTAGGAGCCTTTGGAGTAGGAAACAAGCTGAAGAGTTGGGTGCAGTGTGGCAAAACACAGGAGGGATCCAGCCTTCCTCCTCTGGATGGGTGCCAGCCTGGGCTCCTTTGCTTTTGAACATACYCTCCCAGGGACAGCAGGCAATTAGCTGGAGCTGAAGGAACACCCATGGGATGGAGAGGGAAGGCCCTTGGGCAGAATGGGTCAGGAGTCTGGGCAAAGGAGAGCTCTAAGGAGCCCTGTACGGCCCAGACCAGCTTGCCCTCCTGCAGGTGCTCTGACTGCTTAAAAATGGAGCATTTCACTAAAATTGAAGTGAAACCACACACAGCATTTTGTCCAGAGGCACAATAACATTTTCCTACACTTCACCATTCACCTCCTCATTCCAAGCTCCGTGCACAATGCTCGCTGTACCCCACTGGCCCAGCAGCTACCACCCGCTGCCACGCTTTGACCCGCCGGCCATCCCTTGGAACCACAGAAGCGTTTAGGATGGAAAAAACCTGAGATCATCGAGACCAACCTTTAACCCAGCACTGCCAAGGCCACCAYTAAACCAGGTCCCTCAGTGCAGCACCTGCATGTCTTTTAAATACCTGTCCCCTGGCTCCGCTCTGCGCTGCTCYTGCCTTGGCCCGGCTCCCTCAGGGTGCGGACCCTGAACACCCCCGGCCGGGGGTWCCCGTGGCTGAGGGAGCCCCAAGAGCGCAGTCCCTGCCCCGAGGGTGCCTCCAGGCGAGAGGGACAATGCCGGTGTCCGCCGAAAGAGGGAGTCGAAACCTTTACTCGGTGTTAAAAACACGCCCCCGAATCTAAGAACACGAGTGTCGCGGCGGGTGCTTCCCCCACGCGTCTGCTTGGCGCCTTTCTAAGCCGAGTGGTTGTGGCGTGCATGGGAAACACACGACAGCACACTGGGATCCAAAGGCATTCCATGCAGAGAGTTATCACTGCACAGTACTCAGGTATTTCTTGCTTTTCTACAGCCTGCTGCTGYCTTCTAAGAAGAGCAAATTGCACTTTTATCTAAGGGCCGAGAGTGCATTTAATGGACACACAACAATAGGTAATGCATATACAGATATACTATATCGTATATACTGGCTGCATCAAAAGCAGCATGGCCAGCAGGTCAAGGGCTATGATTTTGTCCCTCTATTCAACTTTGGTGAGATCCARCTTGGAATACTGCCATCCTGGGGTCCCCAGCACAGGAATAACAGGGACCTGTTGGACCAAGTCCACAAGAGGGCCACCAAGATGATCCAGGTTCTGAAGCATCTCTCCTTTGAAGACAGGATGAGAGACTTGGGGCTGCTCAGTCWGGAGAAGSATCCAGGGAGAGCTTAGAGCCCCGGAAAGCAAAGCATCTAARCATACAAGGCAGCTGGAGAAGGAATTTTGACAAGGGCCTGTCACGATAGGAGCCTGTAGTGRTAGGACAAAGGGGAATGCATTCAAATTAAAAGAGGGCAGATGTAGATGAGGTATTAGGACCAAGTTTTTTACTGTGAGGRTGGTGAGACACTGGAACAGGTGACCCAGAGAAGCTGTGGATTCCTGGAAGSGTTGAAGGACTGGGTTGGATGGAGCTTTGAGCAAGCTGGTCTAGTGGAAGGTGTCTCTGCCTATGGCAGTGGGGCTGGGCAGAGCTCAAACAGCACTGCTTCTTTTTTTCCTTAATGGTGGTTCCCAAATTACACTTTCAGCTAAAACCAAAAATTTCCAGGGGAGCACTGGAGGACAACAGCTCCTGGCTGCAGTCACACATCACCTGTTAGTAAACTCCCTGTACTATGCAACACACCTCTGTGAGCTGTGCTTTAAATTGTCTTGAATTGAAGCTTCTGCATGTCATACATAACGTTTGTGAGCCATATTTGTAAACCAGTAAAATACTGTAATGTAAAAATGCACATATTTTCTACAAATAAAAGCTTCTCATGGCCAAGTAGGAAGCCCTGGAGTGATTGATCAGGCCAGGAGATGTGGGCAGCTGTTTTCTCCTCAGAGGTGCACATGTGCCTCTGCCCCCCGCACAAACAAATGACCAGAAGCGGTGAGGGGCAAGCACAAGCTCTTAATCKGCTTCCCTTACACAGGTGATGTGCTCTCTTGGAATGGAGAGTTATAAATCACCTTTGGTGGGAAAAGCAGCAGGACCTGGGAGAAGTTGYGCCCTTTCTGGAGGAGGTCTCTCCACAGCTGGGATGGGGTGCCAGGAGAAGTCAGGTTGGCAGGACTAACTGTGCTTTGAAAGCCAGAAGCATCTGCGTTCTCACGGATGAGTGGCTCCAGGGTTTGCTTCCCTGCCCAGTTGCTGTGATTACTCTGCTTTCTCTCTTGCTGTATGTTCCACCTCCTGCAAAACTGACCAAATAAAATGTGAGGATTCCCCTATCATACACCCCTGGAAAAAAAAAAAAAAAAAAAAAAAAAAGGGGATTTGCTGTACAAGATTAGCCACAACCTTGTATATTTTCATTTTCCATATGGAATCCTGTGTGTTCTTTTAAAACTGAACTAAGTGCAATGTGACACTGTCCTTTTTATTTCAGCAGGTCTTTTCTTTCTGTCCTCAGTTCTATCTTCTACTTTGTTCCCCTTTACTAAACTTTCTCAGTCTGCTCAATTCCACCTGCCTCATCTCCCTCAAGTCCTTTCCTTTGCTAATCCATGTAACACTTATGGTCCCTAGTTATCCTCAGTTAAAAGGCCAGATCCTGCTTTCAGTTCAGCCACAATCCTGGATTTTTTCACCTGGAATTTTTAAAGTGTGTATATTCCTGCTTTCTCCATTGCAACCATGCARGTTTAGAAGCAGTCCCCTACAAACATGTGTGAGTCAGACTATCTTCTCC